GAACTTAATTTCCTGATTAGAGTAAGGCCGCGGGCTTGATAAAAAGATAGACAGACGATCGCGTTGGTGTCGGACAGCTCACTTGATCATCATCTTAACCTTGATGGTTATGACTGAAAGTGATTTGGAACAACATTTGGTCAATTGAGAGTTTGACCGTCAATTTCGACGATGTCCACCGTGTGTTACACAACAGTTCGACCGTCGTTGCCGACGATTCCTACCGTGTGCTACACCGACAGGTGAGGCATACACGGTGACTTTCACGTGAATTAGTTTATATTGATAGCAGACTTGCGCAGTATCTATCGCACTCTCTCATCCCCATTCCTCGCGTGGACCCGGTGTCAAGACAGAGTCAAGAAGACCGGAGGCGAGGAGTGCACACACACACACACACACCCACAACCCACCCGGTCTCAATGGCAGGACAAATGGAGCAGGCCGTAAAGCCGCTTGAGAGAGCATCGAGTAAAATGAACATCCTTTCGAGATTAAGATGTGTAGTACTCCACCGTGCGCTACACATCAAGGCGCATAAGGCACGATGACTTGAGCGTGAATTAGTTTATAATGACAGTAGACTTGCGCAGCACCTATCGCATTCCCTTCTCCCCACTTTTCCATCTGGATCCGGGTTTCAAGACAGATTCAAAAAGGCCGGATGCGTGGAGGGGGGGGGCGCAGGTGATGTGCTCATTTAAAAGTCACTGCACAAGACTGGGTTCTCCCTTGTGTTGTCTTCTCTCCTTACGAAGTAGGTAATAAAGCAGCTTATGAAGGATCTTGATATAGCTTAGGTACAATCCGACAGGTCGCCCTGTGGTCCCACTGTGCAAGTGTTTAATGTGCAGCATAAGACGGAACCCTCTCCGAGACACGATGTGCGGCTGCTACTGGTGAAGGCCTTAAAGCTTTTCCTGAAACGAATTTTAAATAAATCTATCGAAACATCACAGAAGTACTAGTGTGGAAAGAGAAATATTAGGCTTATCCTGCGTCGGTATACACTCCAACTATCTGCTTTCATCATAGTTACCGAGAGTTCCGAACCGCAAATAATGCGTGGGTTCACATAAAAGAGGTGGGGCGAAAACGACTAAAGAGATGCCGAGCAATTTTTTAAGAATGCATGGTGATGATCACCATCCCGTTGCTTAGAGCACTTCTGGAAATCCATTCTCAATCGGAAGATATGGGGTCAGGCGTATATTGCGGAATTCCACATTGATGAGAGCCTTCGTGACGGCAGCGCAGTCATTTTGGATCAAGCAGTGGACTGACCCCCCCAAGGTCAAAATGCTGTACGGTCTCTCCAGTGGACCGGAGGCGAGGAGTGCACACACACATACCCACCACCCACCCGGTCTCAATGGCAAGTCAAATGGAGCAGGCCGTAAAGCCGCTTGAGAGAACATCGAGTAAAATGAACATCCTTTTGAGATTAAGATGTGTAGCACTCCACCGTTGGCTACACATCAAGGTGCATCAGGCACGGTGACTTGCACGTGAATTATTTTATAGTGGTAGCAGACTTGCACAGCGTCTGCCGCACTCTCTTTCCCCTACTTACCCCTGGATCCGGTGTCAAGACAAAGTCAAAGAGACCGGAGGCCGGAGAGCGCAGGTAATGTGGTCATTTAAATGTCGCTACATAAGACTGAGCTCTCGCTTGTGTTGTCTTTTCTCCTTATGAAGCAGCTCTTGACCAGTAGATATATCTTATGTACGATCCGATAGGTCACCTTGTGATCCTTGTGTTTAATGGGCAGCATAAGACAGAGCCCTCTCCGAGAAAATATGTGCGGCTGATACTGGTGAAGGCCATTATAAAGTTTTTTTCCGAAACGAATGTTAAATAAACACACCGAAACGTCATAAAACTACTAGTGTAGAAGGGCAAGTATTAGGCCTCATCCTGCGCCGAGGGTTGCGAACCGAATTCACATAAAAGAGATGGGGTGAAAACGACTAAAGAGATGCCGCGCAATCTTTTTGAAAGGTATAGAGATGATCGCCTCCCCGTTGCTTAGAAAACTTCTGGAAACCCATTCTCAATCGGAGGATACGGGGTCAGGTGCATATTGCGGAATTCCACATTGATGAGAGCCTTCGTGATGGCGGCACAGTAATTTTTGATCAAGCACTGAGCTACGGGAACTTGGACTGAGCCTCGTTAGGTCGAAAAGCTGCACGGTCTCTCCAGGGGATTTAAAGTTAAGACTCTATCTCCTCATTAAGGCTTGGCGTTTGTATGGTTCTCCAGGGCTCTCTTCTGCTTCCCCTGATTTACCTACAGTCATAAGTATTGTAGCAGGCATAAAGGACATATGTCGATTTAATTTATAAAAGCGTCATTAAGTCCACCGTTTGCATCAAATGACGTCAAATTGCAAGCTGAGTCTTGCGACTATCATATGCGTCGGCGGTCCGCAATAATTGAGAAACTACATGCCACACCACCTGGACGCGAGTAAACCCGATGAGCCGGAGGGGTGTACGGAGGCGTACGGCGTAAAATTTTAGATCTAGAGGAGGCCGCCATCACATCAAGGCACTCAGTTAAGATCAGAGATCGTCCTGACCTTCCCCTTGTGCGGCGCCGGCCTCAAACGTTGTGGAAATGAATGGTACATCAGATGCAGCGGCTACGAAACCCAAGTCCCTGTACACTACTCTCTTTTGGCATCTATACGCCACTCATCACAGTCCCACAGATGAGTTTGCTCCATCTGCTTAGCGCTTCTTTCGATTGCCTCCGCGCAGATATGGCTTTCTGTCCAACAATCGCAGCATGAGCTAGATTACGGTCTTTTCGACTCCAGACTGCTTTTCTTTTAGCCGTTGTGGTGTGCATTTGCTTGCCAGTCGTTCGACACTATGAATCCATTGGGGCCGAGTCGTTCAACCTTGCAGGTCTATATGTACCCCGTGTAGGTGGAAGCTGCTTGCGATTGCAATCAAGATGCGGTAGATGTGCTATCTCATGAAATGTTAACTTAAATCCTGAAGTGTGTTTTTGACTGGTAGGAGCTGCTTGCTGTTGCGATCAAGACGCGATGAATGTGCTATCCCATGAAATGTTGACC